AGTCACAATATCAATATATTCCTGTGTTACTTAATTAAATAAAAACTAAAGTAACTATAGTTTGTTCCAGGACCAAAAACATACTGGCCATTTCATTTTGAGAGGTATTCCGTGGCTTTCTACTCTGCTAATTTGTGCCCAGTGATCTGCTTTTTGGTTCATTTACTTGTTCGCAGGTAATGTTTCTTGTAGCAAGTTGTGATGAGTGTAAGATCAGTGATCTGTTTTGGTTCATTTACTTGTTCGCAGGTAATGTTTCTTGTAGCAAGTTGTGATGAGTGTAAAAGTTTTAGACTTACTTGGGCATCAGCTATTAATGAACCGGTTTTATAATTTCTGACCTTTTGTAGCCAGATACTAGGATATATTAAAATAGTCATTCATACACTGGATGAGAAAACCCACATTGTTGAAAGTCTAAGAAACAAAGGAAAACCAAACCATGAGCAAAACCAAACCTCAACAGCCAGCTAAGCTGAGCAGAAACACGAAGAAATGCTGGTAGGTAACACAGAAAACCAAACACTTGAAGCTGCATGCATTACTGAAGATGTGTCTGGGACCAGCTGCAGCTGTGAGGTTGTTCTCTTATACCTATTTAATAGCTGAAAAGAGGAAGATGAGAACATCTTTTGCTACGGATAACTGATTGGGAGTGTGGGACTGCCTTGCAGGGCATGCCTGCACATATCACACATCAGTTGTCATGACAGCACGAACTCTCCTTGCATCAAAGTAGACCATTACTGTGGTTTTGCCACCTGATGCTCACCAGTGCAACACGTCCAATCAACTGTGCAACTTGTTTAAGTGATTCTCCACCAAGGCTGTTAAAGTGGAAGCTTTATTAGAAGTTCAGGCCCTGTGCAAAGCTTTTCCTCAGCAGAGCCTCCCCATTCATGTTTATTAATTATACTGGGTCCCAAAGCTCTTATTTCCTTATTATTTCCTTATTTAGTAAACTAGTATTGTTGGCTATAGAAGAATAGCTATCTGATCGTTTCCTTTTGGAAATGATTAGTCTGGTTTTGTGGGTGTGTCTTTTTTTTTTTTTTTTCATAAAATCTGGAAGCATCTGAAATTGTTTCTTAGCAACCCTTTTCAGTTTGCCATTTCCTTCTATTCAGCTCCCCAAAGAGCGCTTCTAAAGCTGTAGTAAGGTTGGCCATTTCAGAGAAGAAGCTATTATTTTTCCTCTTGTATGAATGGTGAGATTGTGCCCAGATACCATAGCCTGACAGGAATATTCTCCAGTATATTAAAAAATGTCCTTGAAACAATGAAATACTTGTAAACTGAGATAATTGGTAAATTACTGGCAAGAATACTGATAACTGTATCTGTTGTGCTTGGCAAGGACACAAGAGGAAAAGGACAGCTACTTCCTTATTGTTCTGCGTAGAAGGTTAATTTTGTCTAAACCAAACCTTAGACATTTATCTGAGTTTACAAAGGTACTTCTCACCTTGCTCATATACATCTAGCACCTTGCCTTACCTACCCACACGCAGAGGGCAGTTTAGTTATCTACCACACCACACAGTGGTGCTTAGAAAGCCCTGCATACTGGTAAATACCTAATCAATAGCATGTATTTTACATGTTGTGAGACCAAATTATTTGAGCGTCGCCCCCTTTGGATACTGTAGGTCCCACAAAATATACATCACCCATACAAAAAGTGAAAGTCCTTCCAAATAGCTCAGGGCCACTACATTGATTCCTGTTTCTGTACTTTCCAGTTCCACCCTTCATCATGCACAGAAGACTTACACACTGTTTCAAAAGTGAGGTTTTTCACAGCACGCTCAGACAGTGGTAAACCTGCCTTTTTAAAGTTAATTTATAGCAAAATAGTAAAACAGAGCAGAACACAGAGAGATACAAGGGAAAATTCGTGGCAGCTGAAGTCTGTTCACCGATTAACTCCTGTGGAAAGGCCCTGAGACATACAATGGGCTGCTGATTAAACAGAGTGAGTCTGCTGCTCACTCACTGCCCAGAGTCCCCACAATGTACGACGCTCCCTTTTGTTCCCTGGCACTCCTCCAAGTTTAATGGGTGCCATGTACCACGGCACTGATCAGTTTATCTATACATAAATATATTCCAGTAAAAAATGTTAGAATTCTGCATGCAGGCTTCAGCACATTTTGGGACCTAAAATATTTCTGTCATCTCCAAATAAGTACATTACCAGAACCCTCCAATAAACAGTCTCTTTGGCTACACACTTGTCCTAGTCTACTCCCCGTCTGCTGTTTCACCAGCAGAAAAGGCACTTCATATTGCCGAGGAGAGGTAACAGATTAAAAATCTCCTTCATACTCGTTGTGTAGCTGCTTTAGACACTGTCTCTGGCTGCAGTGTGGAAATTCAGGCAATGAGCTCCAGCATGACAAGGTGCAGTTATTATTGCATGCAACATAAAATGGGTTTTGGGCATCTCTCTTTTGCCCCAGCTTCCAGCATAGAGAAATGTGACTGGAGTTTTGGCACACTTGGGCGTCCATTGCTTGAAACATCTGAATTTCAGCAAGTTGTAAGACTAAAGATATACTTAGACAAATCCTCCTTCTTTAATCACACTCTTGTGTATGAACTGAAAATCTGAAGATCCGTCAGAACCTTTTAATCTACAGAGAAGCCAGGATGAAACTGTCTTGGAGGACATTTGGCGATGCTTAGCTTGTTTTGTTTGTTGAAACTCTGCTGTTCATACACACCTGGTCTCGACCTTGCCCCCACTGCATCTATTGATAAGGTTGGCATTGGGATCAATAGTAGCAGAAGTAGAGCCAAAATGGAGATGTTAATTGCCAAATCTGTAACTTATGTCACCTGTCAGGAAGTCCTGTGACACATACCAGCCCTGCTAAGGGAAGGTCAGGTGTATCATACCATCATCTGACATAAAGCAGCACAGCCACAGATAGCACAGTGTCAACGTTGAGCAGCACCAGTCACTCAGATGGGGCAGGTAGACGAACTGGATGGATAACCAGGGTTATGTCTGTATTTCTGCCCCTACCACAGACATCTCACCTTTATCAAATCTCCAGAGATAGCTGTTGCACTTCAATGGGATATTAATTATAACTCCTCTCACTCTAACAGAATTTTCTGTCTCTGTGATGTCCCTCTCAAAGTTACAAAACTTCGTGGTGCAATGTTGTGTTTCTCCCACTTAAGACCTGGGCTTTCATATACAGCAGGAGGACACTTGGTGGCACTCATTCAACATCATTTTTACTTCCCATACCGCAGATTCTGTGGGTTAACGTAAACATGTGAAAAATCCCCCTTAATAAGATTATCCCATGAACTCTATCACTACGACCAACTCCTGCAGTCACTACTCAGTTTTAACTTAATCGTTAATGAAGTCAAAAATAATTCGTTTTGTGTAAAAGAAAACTAAAGATCAGTTTATGATAGTAAACTGATCACTAAATTTGAGCCGAAGTGATTTTGCCTACCAATTATTCTGCAAAATCTTCACTTTTCTGCTTGGATGGGTACCTAAAATTCACTCCCTGTGTAATGTGCAAATTCTTTGTCCCTGCACATTACTGCTCACCGCAACTTGCATACAACTGTTTGAAAACAAACAAAAAAAGAAATAAACCCTGACTGAACCATCTGGTAACCAGGATAGCTACTGAGAAAGAGACAACTGCAAAGGAGGTAGAGAGTTGCACTTGGCTGTACACAGCAGTCCCTCTAATTTATACTGCTGGGTGACTGCCATCTGTAACCCAATATTCATACTGTGTTTTGAGAAAGACACATGGGAAGCAGCAGCACTCTAACACATTTAGACAAGTAAATACCTATAACCCCTCTATAAAATCCTTCTTTTCCAGGAATTACCCCAGTATCTCATGGACAGTACCCTAAAGTCCTGCCAAGGACCACGGCCTTATTGCTGACACCTGGCAGTTATTCGTATCAAAGCTGCTGAAAGATCTGACAGTCAGTAGGGGATTTGTTTACTACCCTTAACAGCAGGACACTATTCCATTAGCTAAGGATAATCCAACACCATTAGATAGCCCAAAGCTTGACTGAAGGTGCCTCCTTTGCGGGAGGGGGAAGATCGAGTCCAGATGTCCCTGCAACTCTCCACTTACCACACTCAAAATAAAACTTCCGTGAAACACAGGTTACAAATAGGTCAGTAGCCACAAGCAGCCAAGACGACCTCAGTGGGAAATGTCTTAAAGCAATGGAGCACAGGCAAGCGCACAAGACAGCCTGTCCTCTCAAAACACAGAAGTACCTGCCTTCCTCTAGAACAGAAACAGGGCCCATCCCCACCATCCTTCAACAACACAACGGCCAAAAGAGTGACCCACAGCTGTTACGCCAGGGTCACAGTGCCCACAGAGCTTGATTACTCCATGGATGCCCATTGGCCCCGAACCTACAAAATCCATGCTGTCAGGAAACTCCTTTCCCAGCAGTTTTGCTTTTGTTCCAAGTTTTACCAGCTGCACCAGGGAAGATTTAACTTCTTTGGACAAAGTGCCCATTTCATTATCTGCATGAACTTGCATGCACTTTGTTTGTATACTCAGTGGTGTTTATATACTTGAGAAAATGCTTTGCTGACAAGTTCTGTACAGTTTTCCAATAATCCAATAATGTTTATTAAAACCGAGCATGCACTTTTCAAACCAAGCAAAGATTATTGTACTCTAAAAGGTGTGCGCCCAAACCAAATTTTTAATTTCAGAACATTTTACTTCTGGCCTGTTTAGGAAGAGTTTTGTATTTAAAAATGAGACAGTATTATCTTCTCCCTTTCCAAACTTTTAGGCAACTAAAGGGCTTTTCCTCTAACATTCTTCTAAAAAGAGCAAAAAAGACCCCACTGTTTTAGCAGAAACACAGGAAGGCAAAGTGCGGTCCAAAAGCGAGTTACAATTAATCAGCTGAAAATCATACTGAGCACTATTTCACCATGCTAAGCACACGGCCTGCTACAAAGCACTTACATGTGCTCTTCACACCGGGCCAGCGCTCGGCATGTGCTGTGCCGGACGCAGGTTGTCACAACAATTGCACGGCCTTTCCCAGACGAAGTGCCGGAGCGTGAGTCACGAAGGCCAGAGCCTTTCCAAATCGCTTTGATGGCCTGTCCCCTTGCAGGAAGGTGGGGCTGCATTGTACAGAAATGCCATCAGCACCATTTCTGTGCATACAGGGAATTTCACTTACGTCATATTTTAATATGGATATTATTTGCTTTGTTAAAGATTAATTACTGGGAGGTACTGGCCGGGTCGGACACCAATCCCGGGGAAGCTTAGGGCAATGGCCAAATAAATAGAAAGCGTGCTTAAGATGAAGGCAGCCGGTAC